CCCCAAAACCCCAAAACCCCAAAACCCCAAAACCCCAAAACCCCTTGTTTTTCCAAATCTTTTGAAAAATCATAAAAAAATTATTGAAGCCATTAATGCTCGGGAGAAGAGTTCTTCAAGAACGTGTCAGATTAGTAAGGTATTTCAGCCAGAAGCCTAATGAAGCTCAGAAAGCGGCAAGAAGAGTTGATCGGGCCAAGCCAAGAAGCCAAACTCTGAGTAATTTGTCTCTAACTTTTTAGAACAGAATACCACTCCAAAGGAGAGAAGGACTTATTTATGGTATTATGGTTTAGCTGCAGTTTCCTTTATTGGTAATTTGTCGTATACTTAATCCTAGGTGTGCTTAAGGCAAGCTCAAAGGTAACAGAGGCATTGCTGTTAGTGTCAGATGAATTAAAATAGCACATCTCCTAAAATCAAAGAAATATATGACTGAAAGAATGAGTCTTACATTATCGAAATGGAGCAATCAGAGATAGTACATAAGGATGTTTTACTTCAAAATAAATTCCCCATTATAAAAGCTGGTGTAGACCATGCCTTCGAAGAAAATTGCAGAATCATCTCTTCCATTCCGAACCCAGCCTTGCTCTGAAGCCCCTTCATCGCCTTCTCAACAGTAGGCATGGGCCTCCACTTGCTTGCCTTCATCCGCGGCCGTGGCCCTCGCACAAGGTGGATCCAGATGGCCATGTGGCTGCTGATCTACGCAACCCTCAATGTGACTGCAGTGTCTATGATCACCCTCAGGAGCTGGCGTAAGCGTCTCGCTAAGATTTAGTGTCCAAGGACATCCAGAGTTTCGTGGAGTACATCAGAGTCACTGCCAGGGTGTGCACTCCGGAGCAGATCGACGGTAAGCAAGGTGTTAACCAGTAGAGACAACTGACGTCACAAAGCTGGAGCCCATGCTCCTTGATTACTCCAAACTTTCAAGGATGGACAAGATCAAGCTCAAAATAGCAAATATTTTCTAAAGTTCAAGAGCAGGTTAGCAGAGAGGGGTTTTGGGGTTTTGGGGTTTTGGGGTTTTGGGGTTTTGGGG